GGGGGGCGACGGGAGCGCCGGGGGAGGGGGAGGAGTGTGATCTGTGCTACACCAAGTGTGTTAATTATCGAAAGTTCCACCCATCATGTCGTAATTTGAACAAATACCCGGAAAGGAAAATGAAAACGAAGGCAGCATCCAGTGTTAAGAGACAAAGTTAGAATGCTGCAACTGTCTGAATAATATTCCTCTTGCACGCACTCTCACCGTGTCACCCTGATAAGCTGAAACGCAATGGAGGAGGCGCTCAAACGTGAAAGGATTTCATTTTCGTACCAAGATATCACAAACTGTTCAAGTGATGGATGGTCACGACTCACAAGGTCCGGCTCGGACCGGGGGTGTCATTTGACATCGGCTGTGCGCGAGGGCTAGCTCCGCTATTGGCCGTGGGGTTGCCTGGCATGCGGAGCTGTGTGCCGGTGTTTGTTAGCATTGCCACAACTTCAGGCATGGCAGGCCTCTGTTCAGGCAAATGCTGCACGCAGAGAAGGCCAATATGGATGCACCTGGCCAGCACTGAAAAGGCCTCTTCAGGTTCACCCACTTGCGGATCAAGAAGCTCCCCGATCTCGCATTGCTTCCACGATTCCCAGACCTGCAAAAGAAAGAAATGCACCGTCATACAGCGTCGCGCTCATTTTTCGATATGGCCATGTTCAGAATGCGTGGAACGTGTGTTGGGGTATCCGCTGAGTTCATACTCACCGGTGCTCGTTTCAGTGGGAAGAAATTAGAAGACGTGTACTTATTATTTATTTTGGAACTTAGAAAAGGTGTACTTGGTACTTACTTGAGGAAGGAACACCGGCTCATCTTTTTTTCTTTTGCCTCTGACTATCTCCAGCAAGACAACTCCGAAGCTGTATACATCACACTTGTCTGTCAGGGTCCCTTCCCCTGCATATTCTGGAGCCACATATCCCCTTCATTTAGCAACAAAAAAGAAAATGGAGTTAATTGAGGTCTCTCCTGGACGCTGCGAAACAGGAACAGAAACATCCATAGCTGTTGGCCAACTAGCTAGACTTGAATTTGGAACAGCTAATAGGTGAGGACTTGAGATTTCAAACGTACGCTGTCTGCACCAACGTCTGATTTGTCGGGTCCTCAATTAACGTCTTAGCAGTGCCAAAGTCTGCTATCTTAGGTTCCAATGTGTCATTCAGAAGTATATTGCCAGGTTTTAGATCCCTGTGAATGACTCCCTCGCCGTGAAGCCATTCCAGACCCACCGCGATCCCACGAATTATTTTTACTCTTTGCGCCCAATTCAGCAAGGAGCGGAGGCTGCTATCTTCTCCTGACAGTTGCTAATAGGCGTGTGAGGCAGAAAAACAGATAGGAATAGCAAGTTGTGTCTTACACGTTTCTACATGTAATGCATGATAAATTAGATGTCATGCAATGCAGTGATTACCAAATATGTAGAGATTCAAACTCCTGTTCCTCATGAACTCGTAGACAAGTATGCACTCAGCATTTTCTTGGCAATAACAGAGAAGCTTAACAAGATTGGCATGCGTGAACCTTGACATCAGTACTATTTCCCTTGCATAATCCCCCTTGATTTTCTCGCTAAGACTATCTTGTTTGAGCCTCTTTACAGCAACTGTTCCATAACAATCTAGCTCCCCCTGGTGATTGTACAATGAAGTGTTATGATGTAGATTCCACGGATATACTGAAGGGTGCAGCTGGGATGACTGAAACTCTGAATTCAAACTCTTTTGTGTGTACTGTGTAGTCAATGCGTGACAAGTTGTCAGTTCATACTATGTATAGGAAATAATTAACACCTTGTAGATGACACTAAATCCGCCTTTGCCAATGATATTTGCTTCGGAGAAATTTCCTGTAGCCTGTACTACAGCATGAAGACTGACTGCAGGAAAGGACGTCGTGAGTAACGCAAGATTCGGAGGAGCAACATTTTCTTCAACCCTTGGAGCATTGTCTACAACCCTTGGAGGATTGTCTACTGCAAAGAAAATTGCCTTGTCAGGTTGTTTCTATCCTTTTTCGCAATGCTACAACCAAGAAATATGAACGGAACCATTGTGTCTATATAGTTGAAATTTTACCTGATATTCTTTCTCTGTTCCATCGTCTCCTCCAGGGGGAAAACCAGAAAGCAACGAGAGCCAGAATTATAGTGACCAGGGGCACTGTTACACCAATAACAATCCCAGTAGGAAACGACTTGGGTGGCTGCACTTCACCTGTGACAGTTCTGCATTATTGCTTCGGCGAAAATGTGTTGCATTATATTGCACATGTAGGTAAGAACAATCCAGCAAACGGCAAGACCAGAGAGGAGGGTAAACCAGATTTAATCATGCACATTATTAGTGGAGGTATGTGTCAGTTCAGTTTGTGCAACAACCTAGCTAGTGCGGTATGGGACATGTTACGGAACTTGAACCTCGAAATGCGGACCATTTATGGCATACTTACTTGCTTTTAACTGCTTCTATAAAGCTACTCCTTTTACTTATTACACAAATTGTCACCCCTAAAATGAAAGTTATAATGTTTTCCAAGAGGACATCTTCGTTCACCAGTCCTGCTCGTAGGAAGAAGGAAGATGCCGTGACAAGCTATATATGGATGAGTCCATGTAATGGGAGTTTGAGTGATTTCTGTTCTAGGTATTTTTGTTTCTGTGATTTCTGATCTATCCATCTATTATGAAGTGAGTCCTGCTAAACAAATACGGGAAAAACTAATCAATAGCCAATGACCTTGCCTCATTTGCCCCTTTTGTAGGTAAGCGATCCTCCTCCTTCTCAGGTTCCCGTCTCCTACATGGGACATATATCTATCAGCCTCCTGATCTTGCCCTTCTCTGTTCTCTCCCTCCCTCTCAATTCCCCATAAATTTCTCAATGATATGTGTTGCTGCGGTTGATGTACATACGTTCAACTCATATTCTTGCAAGAAGGTTTGATTTACCTTTTATTTGCGGGGCAGCTACCAGAACATCTCAGGCTGTAGTGGCTTGACAACTGAAACCCCCAATCCATCTAATGTTTCTTTGCGCAGATGTCCATGTTTTAATCTATGTCGGCAAGGTCTTTGATGAAAATGGTGGTTGAAAATAAATCAAGGTAATCTTTATTCTCCACTGCCAATATGTCTTTTGAAACTTTGATGCAGTCACTGATAACAAGTTCATTAGTTCATATAGCAGGCCATTATTTGCATTTTTGAAAGAAAAAAAACCTATTCAATAAGTTTATGATCCATATTTATCTTAAGAATACCCAATTACGTTTCATAAGAATATTATCCTCTGTCTCTTCTTGATAGGTATGATATATTGCTATCTTCATAATCTTTGGCATTATATAGATTGAACTACCAGTTCTGTCGCAGTTCACCATTCGTACAATAGCTGATTTTGTTGAGAAAAGCGTTGTTTTATACTTGAATTGCTATCTGCCCCATGTGCAGATTCTTTTTGAGTATCTATCGACAAGTTGCACGGTAAAAAGTAAAGTAGGCCAGCGATCTTACTTAACTATATACTATTGTCACCTGCCATTATTTTCCTAAGTCTGATGCATACATCCAAGAAGCGTGAAGTGTTTCCCTAGTGCTAAATATATTGATGCACAGGTGTCTTATGTCCAGTCTTATTCCTGCTTATATCTTATTTACAGTAACATCATGTACTAAGTCGTCTCTCTTTTGTATCAGCTACCCTGCATCTCCTTCACAGTAACATTGTAGGTGAAGCTCCGCGAACAAAGATTGAAGCACGCGGTTTTTCTGCGATCTGGAACATGTCACTCCAACACTTCTATGCTTTTCAGAGATTATGTTCCAGTCAGGTTTTTCAGTCAGGTGTGGTGATGCTAAAGTGGTGGCCATTTCACCTAATCGGCTTGGAAGTTTACTCTACATAGAAAATACCCGGCCCTTTAGCCTTGGGGGTGGGTAGGACAAAGTAGATGGTGGACGGGTGGGGCAGAACAGGACACAGAAAAAGCAAAATCGATTGAGACCAGGGAACCTAACTCAATAACAAGCTACACATATGTCATTGCGCCATTGTGTGACTGGTGATAAGACAGTCCCTATTCTTTTTTATTGTTCCGGTTGTTTGTTGTATATGTACTTGTATCCTAAGATCTGGACCAATATCTCCCCTCGCAACAAATTATGCGTATTAAATTGATTTGTATGTATGGAATTCGGCTATCCCATTCATTTTTAAAAAAAAAATTGACATCCTGTTTTGTTTTGGATCTGTATCTATCTTTGTACAATATATAAAGTTCGCTTAATCTGATTTCATTGTCATACATCAATGATAACAATTTCCTATAGATGTATGTGAGTGATAACCTAACTAATAGGCCATTGCCTATTATAATGATCAGGATTACTACAACTCAGCCTGAGAGCATTTAAACTATCGTCCTCAAGTGCTATCTTAACTGATCTATGAGCTTCAGAGTTGTGATCCCTGGTGATATGGAATACTTGAACAAAGTAAGATTTGTAATGGCACAAAAATCTACTAGAAGGCACCTCCCAATGTCCAGGAGCAACCATGGCAAGGGGTAGATTATGTATGGGGATAGCGGCTTCCTGAAGATGTATGCTTGACGTAATGATGGCAGCAAGTTTTAGTCCCTATGCTTCCCGCCCATGATGTCTGTTGTAAGTGTGTTTGCATTGCCAAGGAGTGCTTGCATGGCCAAAGAGTTCTGGTCCACGAATTTCATTACTGTCCATAAATCATAAGTCTAATTATTGTTGCAACTTTGTGATGATACTTGGAAGAATGAATGCCTTACTATAATTTTTCTTTGGTTGACAAGCTTTCTGTAATTTGCGAGATTGAAACAATATAGAGCTATCATTTTGCAAATGTAGTTTGCCTGAGCTCACAAGCATCCCACTTCAGCGGTAAAATTCATTTCCTTCTCATATCTTATTTGCCCTTTAGGAGTACACTTCAACCGTTTTTAGAACTTGATATACTAATTTCCCGCAGCAACGCAAAGGGTGTTATCTAATATGATTAACACTATAGTTTTTCTCATTTCCTCTACGAAATGAAGCGTTTCAAGGGACGATTGTTTATATAAAAAAGAGACTAGAAGGGACTAGCCCCTATGGAAATTTATTGAAAAAACCACCGATCCATGAAAAAATGCGCAGTTCTTTAGGTCTGTTGTCCATGAAAAAACCATCATGCAAGTTCAAAATTACCACTGATCCATGATTAACATCTTTAGAATTGACCACCTTAGTTGCTATAGCATGCACCAAATTAAATATTTAGTTAAATGTTGACAATCTAGCTACGAGTTGGAGTTCTATATGATATTTAGTTAAAATTAATATTTCCAGTCTCAAAGCTAGATGGGTGGAGATCAGATGTGGGAAAGGAGGGCATCCATGTTGTACTTCTCAAGAGCACCCCTAAGTTAGCAGCACCAGAAATCTGATTTGAAAGAGAGTGGATTTTCTAAACCCTGAACTGAAAGGTAACGAAACAACTTTTTTTGAGCAACCTTGCAGAATCACCCCCTTTTTGAGGAGGTGAATTGCAGCGGTTGGTTTCTTTAAAGAGCAATAAAACCAAATAAACTGCATTACTAATTGTTTCAAAGGTAAAAAAACATCCTTGCAAAAAAAAAGTGTAGTAGTACCTAATTCTGACTTGGCTGATCTCAGAAACAGGCTTTGCCCCCCATCTACATGCCGGAGGTCCATGAGGTCCTCTCTCCAGATGATGCAGCCTGTTCCAGTGCCTCCTCCTTTGAGATCCAATGGAGCATACGCCAGACAAGAACAGTTGGCCAGGCACCTCGTCCTGCACTCCTCCAACGTGATGCTAGCATCCACTGATGCGTTGTGCGTGTCAGGAAGCTTCACTCCCTGCATCACAACAAAACCATCCGTGGTGGATATTCCATTACCACAGTCCAATGTCATATTTCGGCGGCAACCGTTGGAGGTGTCCCTCATCTTCCACTGCATGGGAGATGCTGGGCTGAACCCCCTGACGCAGCTGCAGAACGACGTCGACGGTGCACTGGCGTTGCACAGTCCAAATGCCCCACACCTGCCGTACTGGTCGCAGATGTCCCTCGGCCCTTGGAAGAAGATCTTCCACGCCCGACTGCTCCCGTCCCATACCAGGCGTCGGAATAATCCGTCGTCGGTCAGAACTAGACGTGAGAAGGGCGTTCCAGCCTTGGCGACATAGCCATAGGTTATCTCGCTTGGGCTGCTCGTCAATCGGTAGATGAACATGTCAGAATACGTGCCCATCTCCGTGACACCACTGAACCGTAGGCCGTTCCACGGTCCCGTGCGGTAAATCCTTTTGCCACCATCCAACATCACATTTTGTGGTACGCCCTCCGTGTCAGTGATGTAGCGAAAATTCCCTGTGGCAGGGTCGTCAGCCGAATGCCATGACGTGAGGTACCACTCTTCCCCGGTCCATAGGTTCTTGCCAATCTTCATGCCGGGCAGCAATGTGTTCGACGGGTGGTCAAACGACTGCCACGTGATGGCACCGCTGGCGTTCCCATCTCTCGAGACTAGGTTGCCGGACTCGAGCAGCTGCACAGTCGTTGAGGCAGTGCCTGTCGTGTTTGAAGACCACACGACCTGGCCGGAGCTATCAATCAAGAGAAGGTTTCCCCTGTCACTGATCATCAGCGCCCCGCGAGCATCAGTGAGAGGACGGTCTCTGTTGGCTACCCAACAGATGGCGTCCTCATCCATGGAGAACCAAATCCCAAGGTATCTCTTGCCTAGCATCCCAGGAGGGAAGAAACCCAGGGTGAATGACCCACCAGCTGAGACAAGGGTCTCACCGTCGGTGATGTTGCGGGCCTTGTCGAGGATGTCAGATCCAGGATTCGCGGCAGAGGCTGTGGAAACAAGGAGGAATGGAACGACGATAAGCAGGAGGCTGTGGAGGTGTGGCTGATTCTTTGACCACATGATGGCTGGTGTTTCTTGTCCCGGGATCTGGGGCAAAAGACTACTCGAACAAGGTAACTAGGCTAGCCGCCGGTCTGCATATACCCGGCCTTATACATTTTTCGTGTGTTTGGATGTGTCTGGCCTAATTTGGTGCTTGAATCATCCGAAGGGGCAGTGGCAGAATTATGCACTTGTAGAAGATAAACATTATCCAGTGGCTGGTCTTGGGTAGGAAGTAAGGACGGCGCCTTGTCACGGCAATTTTTTATCCTTGATTGACATCAACCGTGTCTACATTGAACGGTTCTTGCAAGGTTGGAAGAAACTTCAAGGAACTTGTTCACCAACCGATTGGTTCACCATATAAAATAAAATTTTATTAAGAAATAAGAATTAACAACTCCCCTTTTTGATTAAAAAAAGCCAACTCCAGCGAGAAACTTGCCTGGCAAGAAACTTTTGAGCACCAGCATTGACAGATTCTTCAGTACATTCATACCAAGCATGTCAGACAAGACGAGGTGTCAAGGTGAACGACACGATGCAAGGTACCGCTCGCTTCATCCCAGGACACATGGTGTTCTGTTTGATCAACAGATCACCGAACGACTGCAACTACTGATCCCGTTTGCTGCATTTTGTATGACCCTCCAGATAAAAATATCGGTACACCAACTACAAGCAAAGTCAGAGGTTTGAACACGTCCTGATCGGGTCTCCTCCCTAGATGGAAGGCCATGTTGAGCTGTTTGCTGCATTTCTCTAATGGCCGCGCATACCGGTTACAGAGAACAGCACTTTAGATGCAATTTGTGGCTCGCAATTTCGAATTCTTAGCAAGGCTGGTAGGACATTTCAGATCTAGCCTGTTGACCAATTCATTGGTTTGGTTTAGGCAACTCCATGGATAAAACTGGCTGGGCAACAAGCCTTTGAGCAGCGCTGGCATCGACAGATTCTAGTTTTTTAAACAGTTCAAACCAATAATGCTTCATAATCTAGTTTTTTTTTTCACACGATAGTGGAGATAAAATATGACATACCGTGTGGGGTGTGGATCACTGCATCTGGAACTTGGGGTGGATTCCCTGAATGTCCGAAGCTGGAGATGCATCCGGAGGTTGGGCATGAAAGCGTCGGCGTCCGTCAGGTGCTGGGACTACCTGCCACCACCGCCGAGGCCAGGCACACCCCGTCGGCACGGCGGAAGGCCACTGGGAGGACGCGAAGGCCCGGGAAGGACTAGTTGGTTGCCGTGGGGAATTGGGGGCAGCAGAGGAGGCCGGCGAGTGGCGGCCGCCGCCCCCAGATCCCGTCGACGACGCCCCGCCGTCACTGGAGGTCCAGATCCCCGTACGTGTCGATGAAGATGGCGCTGGTGGGGGCCGGCCGCGTGCCGGTGGCGTATGGCCCGTCGCCGCCACCGTTGGCCACCGTGGCAAATCCTCCATCCCTGTCTCCTCCCGTCGCGGAACGAAGTAGCCCAAGAAACTGGGGGAGTAGCACATGGAGTTGTTCGGCGGGGGGCGGTAGCCGTCGTTCCTGACCGCCGCCGGCGAATGGGGGCACTGATGTCGTGCGGCCGCACGTGCGAATGGAGGGCTGGGGAAGAAGCAGGCTGAGGGGGCCGAATGGGCTTTGGGGGGGGACTGAATCCAGCCCATATCCCAATAAAAAAAGCGCAATACTGTGTGAGCTCCTGTTCCGCATGTCGAACAACTATCCAAAAACACTGTTTGTGAATTTACTAAAAAATGCATCCGAATTTGAAACTATTCATAATTTAGAAAACTGTTCATGAATTCTAGAAAGAAATAGAAAAATGGAAGAACATCAGCAAAATAAAACACATGGAAAAAAAGTTAAGACCGGTCGGAAGGTTCAAAAACCTTCCCAAAAAGGCAAGGGAAGGCTGCTACCCACCGACCCTACGAGCGGATCAGGATCGCGAGCTCTATGTCTTAAGCGAGACAGAAGCTACTCTCGCGTCAAGTATATGCACTGACGGGCTGGCCCACTAGCGCAGTTAAAAGAAGTTAAAAGAATAAAGGAGTGAAAAGGGCCCCGAGCGGAATGATAATAGATACTCTTAGTTAGAATGAGGTGCTGCTAGCCACAAAGTACTCATCGATTTGGTGTTCGACTACTAGGGCGCGACCGACTTGAACAAAACGACCCGGGTTTCCACATGCTTTCCGGGTTTTTTTTTTGTTTTAGTTTTTTTTCCTTTTCTCTCTCTGTTTTTTTTATTCTTTCACCATTTATATTGGTTTTTTCTTTCCTTTTTCTTTGTTTTCTTTGTTTCATCCTCGGTTTTCAATAGCTATTTTCGTTTCTTTCCTTTTTCTTTGGTTTTATTTGTTTGTTTCTCGTTTTTCATCTATTTTCTTTTGTTTTCCCTCGGGTTTCATTGTTTTTCTACATATATCTAATACATTTTTCTATTATGCATACAACATTTTTTTAATACAGGTCAACAGTTTTTTAAAACATTTCACATTTTAAATGCTTGTTTAACATTTTTAAAATATACTTGTTAAACATTTTTCTCAAATGCTTGATTAATATTTTTATGTACATGATAAAAAATTAATCATTTTTTAATACATTGTCAACATTTTTTCTATACACATTTAATATTTTTTAAATGCTTGATAAACATTTTTTAAATAGTTGTTCAACATGTTTTTAAATGCTTGATTAACATTTTATATATACATTATCAAGTTCTTTTATGATTTTTAATAAATGGTCAACATTTTTTGTATACACATTTATCATTTTTAAGTGCTTGAATAACATTTTAAAAATAATTGTTCAACATATTTTCAAATGCTTGATTAAGATTTCTGAAAGACAAGTTTAACATTTTTTAATACATGGTCAACATTTTTTCTAGACACATTTAACATTTTTCAAATACAAGTTTAACATGTTTTGGATACACGGTCAACATATTTTCCATATTATTTTAACATTTTTCAAACACTTGTTCAACATTGTTTTCGAATTCTTGGATTAACATCTTATAAATACATGATCTACATTTTTTGTATACATATTTTCACGTTGTATTTTTTTGTATACACATTAATCATTTTTAAATGTTTGATTAAATTTTTAAATGTTTTATGTGAAGTATTTTTTGTAATATAGAATATCTGAGAATATAAATAAAGTAAAATAAAACAAAAAAGGAAAACATGGTCACGCCTTGGCAATGGCCTTCCTCCTCAAGCAGCCTGTCCAGTACGTTGAGCACGGCAGCGTCGGTGATAAGGGTCATCTGCATTCTTTGGTGCACCTTGTTGTTGCCGCTGGCAGATCACAAGGGCAAAGGTGGTTGGTGGTGGCGCCTTGGGACTTAGATCGGTTAGCCGATGCTTGTCACTTGGCTACACGTGGTTCATCCCATCCATGCGAGGGGGTGATTTTTGTCTTGACCGTGGCGACACAGTTTGGCCACTCGAGCGGCGGATTGCGGTGGCCATTCAAGGGTCTTCATGAGAATTTTTTTTCTTTAGATCAGATGGTTGCTGCCAGCAGCTTGCACCGGCGAGGTTGTGTGATGTAACTGGAAGGCTCCACTGAGAGTTTCAGTGGCTCTGAATCCGGCCAATTTTGCGTTCAGCGGTGAGATAAATTCTATGGATGGCGGCTTGACGCGGAGGAGATGGTTGTGCAGCAACAGTCATGCTGGAACGTAAAGACTGTGCCACACTTGTAGTTGCTGGGATCGCAGAAAGTGGTAGCGACAACATGATGACTTCAATTTGGTGGTGCTTCTCGAGTACCCGGTCTCGAGTTATGGGGTGAAAACCCTAGGTCTGACCCGAATTGGTTATACCTGGCGATGACAATGTTTTTGCGTCATTACCTGGATGAAGGCACTGCTCGGATGTGCTTGGACGTGTTCTTAGGGTGAAAAGCTAGAGTCTGGCCTTTGTTGGTTGGATCTAGTGACGACGACGTTTGAGCGTCGTTTTCTTCCTGAACGCGTCACTATTGTAGAAACTTTTTCATTGCGCTTGTACTGTCAAGAGATGGTTGGTACAGATATGAGTCTTGTATGACTTCGCTCTTTGCCGGTGTTTTTGCGTGTGTGTGTGTGTTGATATTGGTTGTGTACTTGTGTGCATACTGATTATACAGAGGTCGGATGTGTGTATATTGTGATCGTATCCCCTTAGTGCTTTATTTTGAGTCAATAAAATCCAACCTTTGCCAAAAGAATCCAACACTGATGAAACAAAAAGACACAATCGACCATAAATAACCTGCTAGAGAAAAAATATATCCCACCAGTGAAGATCGGCATGGCGAAGATGTGCGTTAGCCTCTGGTTTCAGTTCGTAAGTACGAGAAATAATTCGCACCTTGGATGACGAACTGCTAAGTCCCCCTTTGCGAATGATATAGTCTACTTCGTAGAGATTTGCTGCATGTAGCATCTACTTTATTTGCCATGGTAGGAAAACCAACTGCTTGCTTTTTTTTTGAGGGGTAAAACCAACTGCTTGCTGCAGGGACAGACACAGACGGCATGGACGAAGCAGATTCTGAGCCAGGGAAAAGTCAATGCTAGGCCGTCGCCTGTAAGCACTTCCATTCTGCTTTTCTTTTTTTTTTTTGAGCGGTCAGCACTTCCATTCTGCTGCTAGGACGAACACCCAAAGAGTACAGGGCTACGGCCCAACCGTGGAGCCGCAGATGCAACGTTGTGTTTCGCCTTTGTTAGTATCATACCGCTTAGCTGGATCAAGTAGGGCTAGTTTATAAGTCGCTCTCCGGGCACTGTTAGCACACCACACGGCCGGTGTGGTCAGCCCTTCATATTAATGAGTATTTGAAATGATGTTTGTGGAGGAGAAAGAATAAGAAAAGAAACGAAATGTAGATATGTTGCATTTGCACGCTTTACTGTTTGACTAACACACCGACACGGTGTGTGCTTGCTATTTTTTTCTTTCATAATTTAATCATGTTTTCCTCTTGAGACTGCACATACTACAAATTAC